TGTGTTCAATTGATTTTTAATTAAAATCATGGTCTAGAGGTGCATTCTTTTAGCTGTAAATGTCACAAGTTTTTCTTTCTTCATGGCAGAGTAGTACTCCATTGTATTAAATCTTAATTTTCCATTCATTGATTGATAGGCATTTTAATTGTTTCCATGATTTAGCTTAAACTGTGCCACCAAAAACATGAGTGTACTTATACCCCTGTGATGTTTTTTTAATTATTTCCAGAAGATACCAAGAAGGAAAAGAGCTGGATCAAGTGGAACTTCTAATCCTAGGTTTTGAGGAAAGCCCACAATGTTTGCATAAGGCCACAGTCTCACCAACAGCACAGAAGTGTTCCTTTCTCCCCACAGCCTGGCCAGCAGTTGTTATTGGTTGCCTTCTTGATAATAGCCATTCTTTGTGGGGTGAGATGAAACCTCAGTGGTGTTTCAATTTGCATCCCATGAATGACCAGTGATGTTGAACATTTTTCAAATATTTATTTGCTGCCCCTCCCACTTTATTGGCAACAGGGATTGAACTCAAGTCCTTGTCCTTGTGAGGCAGGTGGCAGAATCACTGAGTTAAATCCCTGGTCCTGTTAATACCTCTCTTAATCTGAGAAGAATTCATTTCAACACCTTGATTATTTTTTTTTTCGTATTAGGTCTTTAAGTTTGGGAAGTGTGATTGTTTTAGTTCTTTATATATTTTATATATTTGACCTTTGAGGAACAACTGATAAAAGTATTTCCCACTCTGTGGGTTGTCTTGTCACTCTGTTGGTGATTTCTTTTGCTGTGAAAAACGTTTTAATATGATAAGATCTCAGTTGTTGATTTTTTGTAATATTTCCTGTGTAACTGGGGTTTTCTTCATAAAGTCTTTCCCTGTACCTGTGTTTTCAAGAATTCCAACTTTTCTCTGATTGAGAAGATTAGTGTTTCTGTTTTAATATTTAGATCTTTGATCCACTTTTATTCTAGATTAGTGCATAGTAAGAGACATGGGTCTAGTTTTGGTCTTTGGCATAGGGAAAGACAGTTTCTCCAGCACCATTTACTAAAGAGTCTATCATGGGCTGGGGATTTAGCTCAGTGGTTCAGTGGTCTGCCTCACAAGAGGAAGGGCCTGAGTTCGATCCCTGGTCCAAAAATAAATCTATTTTCCTTCCAGTGAAGGTGTTTGTCAAAGATAAGGTGTCTGAATGCGTTGGGAGTTGTACCACATTAAACCATATTAAAACTAAGCACTTGAAAGCAATATCAAACACTATAAAGAAAATTCAACAGAAGCCGCAGTTGTAAAGAATGAATTTGCAGAATGGCTGGGGATATAGCTCAGGCACTGGGCCCACCTGGCAAGAATGAATTTGCAAGTGGGGGCAGCATGGTGCATGGCTGTAATCCCAGCACTCTGGAAGTCTCGAAGAAGGAAGATTCAATTTTCAATACCAGCTTTGGTAATTCAACAACCTAGCATAACTCTTACTAAAAATTTTAAAATATAATATAAAGGGAATGGTGCTCACTGCAAAGCCCTGGATTCAGTTTCATAAATACAAATAAAAGCCAAAAATTTCAATATGTATTTAAAATACAAAGCATTGCCAAACAAGTTTATAATTATTTGGATTAATAAAAAGATGAGAATTTCTTTCTTTTTTTTTTTTAACCTGGGATTGAACTTGGGTCCTTGGGTGGCAGGAGGTGGCAACACTGAGCTAAGTCCCTGGCCCCCAAAAGATGATAATTTCAATAGATATAAATAACATTTCTCAAAATGGAAAACTGCATAGAACAAAATATCTGTTAATAAAACAATATTTTACATTCTTTGTATCAGAATAAAATTAAAATATTAGGGAGTGATATATAACCCAGGAATATATAACAGGAAATCAAACAGGTTAATGTCTGTAAATTCCCCAAAGCTGAAAAACTTAATCTCCTAGAGTCAGTAAATTTATTCCAAGCATAAAGTGTTTCTTTTTATTTTTTCAGATTCTGGGGGTGAAATCCACCAAACCAAGCATGCTGTGAGTGTATACCACCACTTAGGTATATCTCAAACCCCAAATCCATCATTTTTTATAAGTACATGTTTACATTACATAAGAATTACTTTAATATGGCCAGTTAATGCATGTACATTATACATCTTAATCCCCCCTCACTCTTTCTGCTTCTCTCTCTCATTCCATACCCTCTCCCTAATTGCTCCTTCCAATATTGGTCCTTATCTCATTTGTCAAAGCTCTATTTTCATTTTTCCTTCAATATTGACATTCTTTAGGAGATATGAAGGAGAATATTAAGTTAAATTCACAATAGCAGAAAAATAAGTGCCAAAATTTATCACTGCCATTAATGCACTTTATTTTTACTTATTTATTTACTTTGGTACCAGGGATCAAATTTGGGTCCTTGTGCTTGTGAGGCAGGCAGCAGAACCACTGAGCTAAATCTGCAGCCCTAATGCACTTCATTTTTAATGCCAACCTACATAATATGCAAAAGTACTGCTTTGAAAATCAAGGAAAATCTGTTAAAACAAAGAGGAAAACTTGAAGCAGAATGAAAATAATCTATAGATGTAGAGTTCATTATTAAATCTTAACTTTAATAAGGTCAAATGGAAGCACATTTATGACATATAGTTCTTAGGATTACACATAGGTGTTTAACATTTTTTAGCATCAAATGGAAAAGAGAGTTTTATGGTACAAAAATGATCAAATGTCGACACTGAAGACCTGGCTGCAGCAATCCAGTCCCTACCTTCACGGTTACTACACCTCCTTCTTTACTCCTTGACTGCTAATTCTGCCTTATAAAGAAATGAGCGATTGTTTTTAAAGCCCAACTCCCGCTGATGGTGCATTAAATTCTGCTCTTCTGAAATTCTCCTTTCACAAGAGACATTCACCTGTTTCTAATGCAAGTTAGTCACAAATTCACAAAACAGAACGTGCACACATGTTGAGGCTCAATGAGTGTGACAGAGACAGTTGAGTTCGCTGATGGAGCACATACTTATCAAGTCAGCCCACAGAGGGCTTTCGGCTGTTGTCTCTGGAGTCATTTCTGGGTCTGACAACTGCATCAGCAGTCAGTGCCTGGGGCTGTGAAAGAGCAGCAGTGCTATTATGTGGTCACTTTAGTGTAAGTGATTGAGACTGCTCTGCTTCAGGGTTTTCTTTACCTAAGAAGTCCTGTGAATTAAATGGAATTCTCTTTGTTGCTACTAATTTTTTAGGGTAAAAGTCATTTTCAATGACGAGCTTCATATATGTCATACTCACACCAAGCCACTGATAATATTTAATTATGCCAATTCTAAAGACAATGGTATTGAACATGGTGGATATAGTTTTTGCCCCTAAAGTCAGAGTTGCCCTGAATAGATCTCAGTAGTTTCTTCAAAAGTTATGAACATCCAGTCCTGCACTTAACAATCAGATGGTCATTATGGTGCAGTTAGAGCTCCAAACATACTTTCACTTGGAAAGTATGTCTGGGAGATATGATCACAAGGTTGCTTAGATACCAAATCTGATCTGCTGTGCTTAGCTAACTTGGCTTTTTATGAGAGTTTACCATAAATAGGGAACTGCTAAGCAAGAATCTGTACCTCAGGCTGTGCATCTGTGGAAACCAAGAAATAGAACTTTACTACTTAGCTTGAAAGAAGAACAAACTTGAGCCATTTGTGTGAGACCATAACGCTAAATGAGAATCAGGAGGTTACAGATTGCAGTTTCTCTAAGAAGCCCAAAGTCAAGTATTTTACAGTGCACAATAAAAGATAAATGTCAGAGACAGAGTGAAGTGGACTTTGTGGAGATGTGAAGGGGACCTGGAGAAGGGTATAAAGAGAAAATCGAAAATGATCAAAAGGCAATGTGCCTATGTCCCAAGTTCCCATGATAAACGTAATTATTATGTATTCAAACATATATTAATAAAAAGTCTGTGTTCAGAGAATTGAAATCATATTTCACACATCACATTACAGAGCTAGACACAAAAAACAAAATCTGCTATTAATCCATATTAAAGAGTACACGGCTATTAGACTAAACTCAGACCAACTTGGAGCACCTCAAAGCTTTGAGATAATCTTTCAAGGAAGAATTTAATAAAGCTAATTTTTGGCTTGCCAGATGGATTTGTAATGTTCTCCATCTCTCACAGTATCAGAAATCTATGAACTGAGTTCAGAAGTAGAACCTGGCATGTGATGAGTGAAGGCAGGTGGAAACCTGGAGTTTAGAAATCAGAGCCAACACTGGTTGACTGAACCTCAGAAAAATAGGAGAGGAAAAGAATGAAGCACAAGCAGAGAGATTTATTTTGGGGGATATTTTTGGAAAGAGAAAAGAGAATGAGACTGGATGGAGCAGGATAAGAGGTTGAAATAAGGATTTTATTTTACTTTTTCAAAGAAGCTTATATACTTTGACTACTACTGGCAATGGTCTAATTAAATTAAAAAGTGCTGCAGAAGACAGGAGAATCCATAGAACTGTGGCAAAGTGTGAATGAGTTCAATGCACAAATAGGAACATTGGTCTAGATTAAGTACATATAGAACTGAACACAGATCTCTCATGGAAAAACAGAAATTAAATCATCTTAGGAACAAAAAGTAACTTAAAGTTATCTGTAACATAGCTGTCACTAGAATACCACAAAACCCAAATGGTTGAATATGGTAATTTTCCCAGGCATTTGGGACATTCTGTTTCAGGGTCAAAGGATATAATCTAATCACATGTTAATTTTAGAAATGAAGAGACAATGCATGGAGAGTTGACATAAATTATAGAGGGACATGCAGCTACTTTGTAGCCAAGGAAGAATTAAAACAAATACTCTGGTTATACAATTGTCATTCTTCAGTATTCTATCTCTGTCCTTCTGTGTTCAAAGTCATTGGCCAGGATTTCTCAGTCACTTATTCTCTTATTTCTCTCTGGCATGTTCTAGTAGTAAATGTACCTGGAACATTAAGGGAAAGATGTTGTTCTAGAAATAAGTCTCCTTAAAGCCCCTATCATGTCCTTGTTTCTCAGACTGTAGATAAAGGGGTTCATCATGGGGGTGACCACAGTGTACATCACTGAGGCTACTGCACTTTTTCTGGAGGAAAGTGTACCTGTAGAACTGAGGTACACCCCAAAAGCTGTCCCATAGAACAAGGAAACAACAATTAAGTGTGACACACAGATGGAGAAGGCTTTATACTTTCCATCAGCTGATGGGATTTTCAGGACAGAAGAGACAATTTGAGTGTAAGAGAAAATTATCCCATAGAGAGGAACAACGCCCAGCAGGCCTGTCACCACATATACCAAGATGTTATTGATGAGGATATCAGAACAAGAAAGTTTGAGAATATGAGCCAGCTCACAGAAAAAGTGGGGAATCTCTAGATTTGTGCAGAATGAAAGTCGCAGGGCCATCAAGGTGTGGAGCATGGCATTGAGGACACTGATGAGGAAGGAAAGTAGAACCAGCAGCCAACACAGTTTGGGGTTCATGATGACATTGTATCTCAAAGGGTGACAGATGGCCACAAAGCGGTCATATGCCATGGCTACCAGAATTCCATTTTCTAATCCAAGAAAATCCAAGGCAAACCAGATTTGGGTGAGGCAGCCAGTGTAACTGATGGATTTACTATGCAACTGGATGTTCATCAGCATTTTTGGAATGGTGGTGGTGGTGAAACAGATGTCAACAAAGGACAGGTTGGAGAGAAAGAAGTACATAGGGGTGTGCAGGTGGGAGTCATGGACGATAACCAGGATAATGACAAGGTTCCCAAGCACTGTGACCAGGTATGTAGACAGAAAGAGTGCAAAGAGAACAGGCTGCAGGTCTGGATCTTCTGACAGTCCCAGGAGAAAGAATTCTGCAATTTCTGAGAAGTTTCCTGGGTTAATTTCATTCATGAATCTGAGCGAATAGATGGGAACAATAAGGAAACAAAAATCAGCCAAAACCTCCTCAATCTTGTCTATATTTTGAGACAAAATCAGCTACAGATTTGTCCTCACACTTATCTTTTCTCACTCTCTTTTATCTTTTGTTGCCCTCAATACTTATTTTCCTATCCAAACTTTTTTCTATATTTAATTTTAAATCCACACACATCAGTTGCACCTACATGTGGTATATAAAGCTTTTTTTGAAGCAAGTATACCTTGTATAAATATCAAAATATTCATCTTGATAACATCAGCTAATCAGAAATTTAGCACATCCACCAAATCTTCTGTTTACACATTTTCTTTATGGTGAGCATTTCAAAACCCTTTCTTCCAGCTATTTAAAAATGTATATTTCACTTTTGTTAACTACAAAAATGATTTCATTTCCACCCATTCTATTTCAAGTAGGGCCACTTATTAAGAATAAAACAGAAAGGAAAACATGTCTTCTCCATTAGCCTGTCTTCACAAATATAATTCTAGAAGAATATTTTTAGGGCTGTACATTAAAGTTTGGGGAAATGCAGTGTTTGGACCAAAGCATGTCTGCTTGATTTTGTAAGCAAAGGGTTACTGGAACACATTCAGTCTTGTATGTATTTCCTAAAGTAGCTTTTGTGATGCAAAAATATTGCTCAGCACATGTCATGGAGAAAATATGAAAAATATGGTAAAAACTCAAACTTCTTTTTTGCTACCTGGATTTTCACTGAAACATTTTGACTCCTGATTGTCCAGAAGCTCAAGTAGACTTAATCTCATTATTTCATATAGCACTTTCAGTTGAAAATGCTTGGCACATTATCAGCATATCTTCTTCTAGTAATAATCATTGCATGCATCCATTATTTCATTAACAGTTAAAAATGCTAACACTTGACCACTTTAGTACAGATCGAATAGAGAGGTGAATCATTACTTGCAAAAACTCTTAAATATTAACAGTAGTCTCTATAATTAATATCCATGGACATATTTAGAGAAATCTATCTGCTCTTTTCTTTTTAGGAGTATCCCTTTTCTTAGTTCTTTCCTATAATTTCGCCTTTCTCATTGTAATTTGTGCTAATAAAAATCCTTTTTAAAAATCAAAGGTACTCACCACTTTATTATCTCAACCTAGATCTTTCTTGTGCAAAAAATTAGGAAATGAAAGGTGAAGAATCTACCCTGGCTCAGGCCTTCCCTCGTATCTTTCTGGTTAGCTCTCTGAGTCTCTGGTTCAGGTATGATGGAGACTCAGCTCTGATCGCTGGATAATTCCTATGTGGATCAGCCCAGGAATTTCTTGAAACGTCTCCTATACACTATGTTTTTCTCAGATTGATAAGAAATGAATCTTGGAATCCCAGAATAGACAATGAGGAATTAATCTGCTGCAGGTCCCCTGTAGTGTATCTTGCACCCCTTCTAGCAACTGTATTAGTGTCTGTGGGCAAATTTATAGAGTGAGAAATCTGCGACCTGATGAGGAGTGATAAGGAAATTGCTGGTAAATTTCAAGGATTCCATGACTTTCTCAAAATATTGCTTGAAGTTGTTAGTGAGTTTGAAGTCACATAAAAAGGGAAGATTGATGAGTGAGATCAGATTTTGCAAAGTGGAAATAACATAACAATGGTGGCTCTTAGAGAAGATCTGGAAGTATTTTTGAACTTCCTTTTGCTAGATTCTGATTTGTCTGATACTTGCAACAAAATAGGAGTGTTTTACTTAAATTTTAAAAATAAGATCTTATAAAGCTAAGATTTCCATGTAGGAAAATGCTTTGATGATGTCCTGTATGTCCATTGGTGTAACTTACCCATGTTTATTTTGAAAAGAATGAGAAAATTATTTTTTTCTCAATACTTACAAACTGTGTTTAAAATAATAAAAAATAGGGCTGGGGATTTAGATCAGTGGTTCTGCTGCCTGCCTTGCAAGCACAAGGACCTGAGTTTGGTCCCCAGTACAAAAAAAAATGGTTTATATTGTTAATGTTACAGAATCTGCCTCATGGTCTTATTATCTAAGAGTGAAATTGTGTAATGATGTCCCAGGAGACAGGATAAAATATCTGTAGCAGCAGCATGACTGCTACTGAATGGTGAAGGGAACAGAACTTAAATCTATTTAGGACCTAGGTCTTTATGCATGCTAGGCAAGTGCTTTAATGCTGAACTACATCCTTAGCTCTTTTTATTTTTAATGTGAGACAGGGTCTTGCTAAGTTGCCTAGCCTGGCCTCAAACTTGCCATCCTTCTGTCTCAGTGTCCTGTGTGGCTGGGATCACAGGCATAACTCACAGAGCCTGGATAACTAAACCCTATGCATCATAAATTAATGCAGACAGCTTTCCTCTAATAGTGGCAAGTGATGATAAAAGAATCAGCCCTTAAAAATGAGACATGGTGCAAATCCAATCATAAATTCCCCAACTGTAACATGGATCTGTGACATAGGGAAACTGAGCAGACTCGATTGTCTCATTTATGTAGTGGAAGTGCTGTGAAAATGTACAGAGATATTGCTGAGAAGAAAAGTAAATGAAAAGCACAAAGTGCAGGGTTCACCATACAGAACCCCATGATTACATTCCCATAAGTTTGTGTTCAGCTGTGAAGTACTCTGGATGCTTTTGTGGAATGTGGAGGGGACATAGGGAAACTGAGCAGACTCGATTGTCTCATTTATGTAGTGGAAGTGCTGTGAAAATGTACAGAGATATTGCTGAGAAGAAAAGTAAATGAAAAGCACAAAGTGCAGGGTTCACCATACAGAACCCCATGATTACATTCCCATAAGTTTGTGTTCAGCTGTGAAGTACTCTGGATGCTTTTGTGGAATGTGGAGGGCGACAGAAAAGTGTGGAAAGAGAGACATAGGATACCCCAGGAACAATATCACAAGGCTGAGCCAAGCCTTATATATATATATTATACACATAAAAATATTGTTACACAAAACATGGTTAGTTTTAATGAAATTCCACAGTGGGAACCCCTAGAATAGCAGGCAGAGGGGACATAAAGTAATAGCATAAAGGAAACTTCTCTCTGCTTGGAATTCATTATTATTTGTGAATAAGCAATGTTAATTAAATTTTTAATAAACCTTCCTGAGGCTATCTGGCAGAATTAATTATTAAATCTGGAAGGTGGATTCATGATTGTGTATTTCGACTCACTGTACATTTTTGGTTGTTTTAATTTATTTCATTCTATTTGTTCGGAATTCTAAAAAGAAAGAGTGGAAAGGTACTTCTTTGGCTTCCATGAGCTTAACCTTCTTTTCTGGAGTACTCTCAGTCAGGTATTAGTACAGTGTTGCACACTAGAGAGACTGAGGTTAACAGGAAGGTTGTGTTTAATCTGAAATAGCTGGAGGAGAATAACAATTTATCATCGCAAAGTGATTATAAATGTAGGAGGCAACAGTTACTCTATTTACCCTAATTTGTAACAAAATGATTACATGTTTTGAATTTTCATATTGCAAACTATAGATATAAACCATTTTTATGCATAAACATAAATATTATTTAAAGAAGGAAACAGACAGTTTATAAGCGTAAAAGCTGGAATCCAAAATGGTTCAACTGAACAGCCAGACTTTCCTCTACTTAAACAGCAGCAAAAGAATTAAGGAAGACAGAGAATGACAAAATATATTCAGATGGGGCTGATTCATGCTCAAGAGAAGGAAAGAATCTCTGGAATTCAGCAAACAGAGCAAGAGGGGAATATAATGAGACCAGACCACAAATTCTGTGCTAAGAAGTAAATACATAAAGTACTACAGATTAGATTGGAATATCACTTTTATTTAAACCCAGCAACCAGTGACTCTTCTCATACCTAGCATGGTGGAAGGCATACAAGATAAAGATAAAGGCAGAAAAGAATGAGAAAGAGATGGGAAAAATGGAAGGAAAGATTGAAAAGGGGAAAGAGGGAGGAAAGAAGGAAAGAAGGAAGAAAGGGAGAAAGTGAGAGAGCGGGGAGGGAGGAAGAAATGGAATAAGGGAAGGAGGGAAAGAACAGAAAAACTCTTTTCAATATCTTACTGTACTTTCTGGAAGAACTTTAGAATACCTGGAAGATATCAGCTAGGAATTCTGAATGTCTTCAAAGGATACTGAGAGATGATAGTGAAAATGTATCCTCAGGAAGGGTAGGTGGACAAATAGGCAGTTAGTTCCTAGGTGTGAGTCCTCATCTCTGGAAGCAGATTGAAGTGTGTGTTTCCTGTCTGAGCCCAGTTGCTGATAAGGTGGTCACAGGTTGAGTATTTTTAGTGTCTGTGGCCTTGAGGACTCAATTAGCAAATCTCCTTATTAGCTAGAGGTGCCTTCTGATTTATCCCCCAAGGTAACTCAGATCCTTAAGGCACAGATCACAGAAGGGTAGAATTCATGAATGAGTTATTTCCTGAACCTGAGAGTGCAGGTGGATACCATTCTTTTCCTACCACATCTCCTTTTGCTTCCAGGGTTCTCAGTCTTGGATGCAGGCTCTGACCTCTGCACACTGGGAAGAATCATCCTTAGTGTAAAAGTCCTTTTCCTTCTGAGGTAGACATGGTAACTAAAGAACTGGTTTTAAAAAGTAAAATAAAATTTAAAAAATACAAGAAAATAAATGTATGACACTATTACCTACTAATCATTATGGCTAAAATGAAAAAGGCAGACATTATAATATGTTGGTAAGATAATGACAGTTTAATTTGATCCACTTACTTGGGACCATTGTATAGTGGTATTTGCTTTTTGTATCCATATCTATTCCCTAAGACATAAATATTGCCCTCCTAAATGTGCACAACTGTGCACTCAAAAGCCCACGTGATAATGCTCCTTGTAGTGCTATTGAGAAGATATTCTAGCTCTAACCATGCATGGTGTTGTGCATCTGTAATCCCAGCTCATGGAAGGATGAAGCAGCTGAATAAGATGTTTGAGGCCAGCCTGGCCTAC